GAATATCATGATTCGCCAACGGCCGGTCGCTATGGATCTGAAGGAACATTTTATCGAATAGCAAAAAGATATACTACTACTGGTTGGAATGAGAAGGATATAGCAGAATATGTCAAAAGCTGTCTCGAATGCTGTCGTTATAAAGCCACTAATCAAAGCCATCTGGCTTACTTCAAACTCCAGTCTATGCTCAACGTTTTGAGACCTTGTCAATTGATCTTTCGGCCCCCTTCCTGAAACACCGTCTGGTGAAAAATGGATTTTTATTGTGCAGGACTGTGCTACGAAGTGGACAGAACTATTTGCTTTAAAGGAAGCCACGGCCAGAGAATGTGCCACTATTCTTTTGGAGGAAGTCGCCCTTCGATTTGGGTTACCTATGAAAATAATAAGTGATAATGGTACCCAGTTTACTAGTGCTGTTATGCAACAACTATGCTATATCTTGAACATTGATCAAAGTCTTACTCCTGTCTATCACCCACAATCTAACCCAGTTGAAAGGAAGAATAGAGATCTGAAACCACGTTTAGAAATACTTGTTGGTAACGACCATCAGTCATGATGGAAGGATAAACTGCCATTAATAAGGTTTGTTTGAATACAGCCAAATGTGATTCAACTGGACATTCTGCTTCTTTTCTTCAATTTGCGCGAGAGTTACGAACCTTAGATGATGTAAAGCATGATATAAAAGCAGTAATTGAGAACGATAATTTTGTTCCCGAAATTACTCCATATTTGAAACGTTTTGCAAGAAATGTACAACAGGTACGAGAAAGAGTCGAATTGCATCAAGATAAACAGAAACGTTATGCTGACAGAAAACGAAGAGAAATACCGAAATTCGTTCCTGGAGATAAAGTTTGGGTCACCCTCCACCCAATCAGCAAAGGTCCACTGAAGAAAACTGCTAAATTCATGCCGAAGAGAGATGGTCCTTATGTGATAGTGACTATAACTATCTCCAACCACTTATGATATTGCCGATCCTCATGAACCAGACAAAATTCTCGGCAAGTATCCTGTTTCAGCCTTGAATCCATATCAAGATCGAAATAAGTTTCAAAACTCAGCTCGTGTAACTCCAGTGGTTCCCTTAAAGAAAAGAGGACGCCCGAAACGTGTAATACCACCCGAATCTGCACCTGTTGCACAAGGTGCTGGTGACGCTAAATTTACTCCTCGTCAAACTGGAGCCCGTCCATCTGATTCTCCGCCCGCTGCACAAAGTAGACAAATGTCAGTTTCTGACTTCTTGCCGAGACGTCTACGAAGTCAGAGGGGGAGGATGTAACAGACCTATTTAAGTGTAATTGAACTATTTTATTCACGCCATGAACTCATGAACTGTAACCGAACTATTTTATTTAAACGCCATCTCGTGGCGATATGAAAAAACGTCGGTCGACCTCCAGCCGCCATGATGATAGCTTACTATGTTATGTTATTCTCAATGTTTGATGTTCCATTTCGTTTATGTTTCATTTTTATATATATTTCTTTTGTTTGTAACCGTTCCTGTGTGCTCTGTTAATAAATCCTTTTAAAGCTAGCCGGCATTAGTGTCTATTCAGGAACGGCTACATCACAGCCTTAAGTAACAGCGAGTACAGTAAGAGAGAAATATTGAGATAAACTGCTGAAGCACGTCCTATACATCGTCTTCCCACAGTATCCACTAATGGGGGGAAGCGTAACCAGCAAATTAACATTCATCCTTAGGAGTCAGATTCAGGACTCATTTTACCCGTTACACACATCTACTTCAAGGCTATAATTATATCAGCAGAGATCCACGGTCAAAGAAAACGTTCTCTTTCACTAAGATTCCCCTCATTTTTTGTTTCCACCCACTTATACCCTCATTCTGTTTTGCCCTGGAATTTTCATCAGCTATACTTTAAGTATATTCAATTTTTTTGTGATGATAAAAGAATTTCCCTCTCTACGATCAGAGCTTAAAATGGGCCGGAGCCCACCGCGTTTCGGCTCCGGTGCTTCTTACTTTCTGTAATAAATCATAATTCTAGCAGCAACGCACCGGAGCCCTGAATAAGAAGGCTGCGGCACTTCTTTTATGTAACTGAATAACAATTTCTACAAATTTTATCTTAAAAATTTTATTTTAACAATAAAATTATATTAAAAATCGCGTATTAAATTTCAATTTATCTCTTTACATTTGATTTAATTTTAATTATTTAATTACTTTAATATTTAAATTATTTCAATAAATATAATTAATTATTTAATAATTACTAATTAAATTGTAATTAATTAATTATATAATAATTATTGATTAAATAAGAATTTATAAACATTAATTAAATAGCTATCAATTAATTTGATAATAATTAACTCTTTAATTTTAAAATTGTTAATAAGTTTAATAGTCATTTTATTTATTTATTTACTCTTGTTTCTCTTTGCTGACGGTCTTCCATAGGGCTCCGGCACTTCTAATCTTAGAAATTAAGCCCTGCGCAGATGAAGTATTTCGACTGCAGTGCCACTAATTTGCATGCTGCAATTTTACTCAGCAATTGTTATTTGAGAACATATTCAAATTTTATACGGATTGGCTTACTTTTGGACGAGTTATCACTATTTTTGTGATTTTTCCGTAATTTTTGGAAGCCAGTGTAATCGATTCGTTAGATTCTGGGGCGATATTTGCAAATAATATTGATCCTTAAGTTTTAGACTTATTTTTAAATCCGAGATTAATGAGAAGTTTAATAGAGTTCTATAGTCATAGAGGAAACAAAATTTCAAAGGTGAATCACTGTGTACAACAAAGCCTTAACAATGAGAGGTTTGTGAAAAGTGGCATGAGAGAATCCGATAACTACATATTGTTGGACATTAAAATTGTTATAGCAAAAAAAAGTAAATGGTAGAATTTTATTGTCTGTGTACAATACAATGGGCGGAAGACATGGTTAAATTTGCAGATGGTGAGTAGAATTCAGTATACAGAACTGAAACCTTTAGCAGCAGCAATAGCTGTAATCCAGTTGGCATCGAGTCGAACAGATACGGGTACTTTATTCCATGTGGCTTCAACTCTATAGCAGTGTTTATCAATCACAGTGAATGGCGCATAGTGGGGTACCAGACTCCAACCGGCAACCCATGACCAGACGTTCGTTGTGGGTGAGAGATTTAGATAACGTGTTGGCCAGGGCAAAAGATGAAAGCCGTCTATATCAACGTAGGTCAACGCGGCACAAACAGCATGCGATCGTGCATTATTTTGTTAAAAGAAAACATCAGGCAGTACTCGAAGATTGTGCCCAGATACGAGCTTTAACATCTCAGAAATGTAACAGCGGCTGTATACATTACCAGGTAATCGATAAGAGATGACCGGGATGTGTACCCATTGGCATCCAATACCAAGTACTGGGCCCGTATGACGATAAAGTAAGCCGGAAAAAATGTTCTTTCTCCGCGGTGCTTTTATCGTACAGATATATCTATCATGCTATACATAGAACTGGGATTCGTCTAAAATGACGTCGTAATGCTACTCCTGTACGCAGTGTCGTCGTTCATTGCACCACTGGAGGCATATTTGTCTGCAGCAGCATCAAGGGAAGCCGGAGCAACTGTCGTCATGCTAACAGTCGGCGGTGCTGCAGACTTCGTCGCAATATTCGTATGGACACTTATCATCCCTCATAGGGGCCAGATTCCTGACTCAGGATACATGACGTGGCCAGACTAACCTGCGAGCTCGAAATGATAACATATCTGCCATCCCGGGTGTTATTGTCCTAAGGCTTCTGAAATTCTGCATTACGTTTTATATGGCCCGAATCCATATTCGCCTGATTCCCAACAATGCAAGCAGCAATATGTCGAAACGGTAACGACAGTTCCGACATTCCACGATCCAACCGCGACTGAATTTCCACACGTGCTGGTAGGAATTTCTTCTTAGTGAGGTATAACACGACTTTTACATCATCAACCTATAAGGCTTTTAAGTTAATTAACTAGTTATTATGATCTTCATCATTACTATAACTTCTTTACGTATTCCTCATCAGAATGCAAATCAACTTTCTGTACATAAGCTGAAGCTTTTGAATCTTAGACAGCTAAATTGTTTTTAAGAGTCGCGCCGCACTATTAAAATTTCTTCAGCTCAACCTAAAAGTGATTATTCGCTTTATGTTTTTTAATTCACGAGCCAGTAAAATATTGGAGGCAGCAAAATATGTGTAGCCTTAAATTACTTTATCAAAGTTTAAATTTATTTGACTGTTATTTCTTAATTTACGTCGCTAGGAGAGGTGGTTTGACTTTCACACAGTTCGTGGCTTTTATCCCCGTATTCAAACTTGATTTCTAAATCAGAAATCCGTTGTGAAATCTTTCCATTCATACACAGTGTTCATGGTGTTACTCATACCTGCTCTATGTGCATGCTAATCATTTGCATATCCCAGCACGTAATATCTTTCGCGCAAATTTGATGCACGCCTCCTTCATGGTGTAGCAATTTTAATGTCCAGCAGTATAGATAAAATAATAAATTATCCATATACCAACCTCTTCTAAACCTTCTCATTAAAATCAGAAGGGCGGAGCGGATCTCCTTCCGAACGCCTGGATGCAAGTTGTGCATGTAAATTCGCGATGACAGTGGAATTCAGAGGATCTGCAACAGTGTCACTACTTTGTTTGAAAAATAGTTGTAATTAGCTTTTGCTAATTGAAACCAGTCTCAGTACCAAGTATTCAGTCAGCGAGTTCGAACAAGTATCTCAAGTACCTGTTTGTAGTTTTATGCTATTTTAATTCCAAAATTTAATTTTCTTAAAACGATAAAATAAGAACTAGTAGTTTTTCTTTCTTATTAATGTACAAATTTACACACGTGTATTGTTTATTCTATTTTTCAATCCTCGTGATGCAATTTTTATAATACCTTAGATGTTGAATTTTTTCGTATTTAGACTGAAACAATGTTATTATTTTAAGGTTTCCAAGTGGATGAAAAAGAACTTACTTCTCGTCCTTACCGTTCTCGCTGTTGCTGTAGGAATAGCAGTCGGATTTGTTGCAAGAAAATTTTTATACAGCAATGATACCGTTATGGTTGTATCTTTCCCAGGTGAACTTCTCATGCGAATGCTTAAAATGCTAGTTCTACCGCTCATCATATCATCTATGATATCAGGTGAGTTCTAATGATATCAAATCCTGTCATTTAAACTACTTTTGTGTGTTGTGTGTGTGTATTCAGCGCTTTCCTACCCTTGTTGCAACTATGATATTAGGTTATTTAACCCTTTGCGGCACAGTGTGTCTGATCTGGACACACCTAAAAATTTCCTTCTATATACACAGAAAATTTGAAGGAAAAAGGATTTATAGGTTACTCTGAACCATCTTTATTTATAGTAGATGGCAGCTCAACACAAACCAGTCCATATATTTTAGCCATGTTTAGTTTTTTAAGACTTAAGACCCTCATTTTTGAAAGAAATCTTCCACATTTTTTTAGGGTATAAAAGGAATTGTTTGAAAAGAAATTTCTATGTTATTTTTTCGGCTGTATGCTAATGTCCTTATTCTGTATTAGTTTTAAATTTTTACCTTGAAATCTTGCCTAAAATCAAACGGGGAACCCTAGGTGTGCCCAGGCCGGGGCACCGATATCTAGGGCGATCACCGATAATCTAGGGCAATTGAGTCTGTATTCTTTGTTTCTCCGCATCTCATCGGTCAGTTCATTGACAACAATGCTCGTTTCAGCACTCTTTTCGAAGCTCTATTCAATCAGTGTGCCCACTTTGGGCACACCCACAGAATTAAACGGTAAGTGCTACCTTCATAAAATTTTCCTTATGGACTCCTCTAGGCCTAATTAGACTGCCTAACCTTTTTTTTTTTTTTTTTAAATCAAAACTCCAACTTTAAAAAGTAGCGTGCGAGAAAGGATTAAGTATGAAAGGACACGACAGCTATCTGCCTAGAATGAGAGATGCCTTAGTGGCGGACTTGGGCACTGGCTCATATTCGCGTTGCATATGGGAGAAACCACAGAAATAAACCATGTAGCCAGCCTGTTCGTCTCGGATGAAACCCTCTTCAAACTCCCTGTTTTAACCATTTGGCCATTGGTGGGCTGCAGCTATGATATATTAAATGCCTTTTGAATATAATCGATGGGCATTCTCAGAAAACGCGTTAAATTTACATCTGTGTGAGAAATTCAGTAACTTTCAAGTAGAATTCCTCATACGACGATACATCGGTTTGCACATATTAATGGTATTAGCAGAGTTGATAAATTGGCATTAATTTCATAATTAACTCGTGAAACCCACTCTCCGCACTCAAAATTTTATTTCCTGTTCAGCTTACCAGAGAATTTTGATTTTTAGTGCGTTTAAGTCTTGCAAAGGCAGACAACGGGACACATGGCCTAAGGCAATAAGTAATAATCGTAACAGTTGACAGGGCTTAAAAAAGCCAATGAATACCGTTCCTAAGTGCAACGGCTGTCCAGCAGGTGGAAAAAAGAAAAAGTTATTATTTTTACTTTATCACATTATTAATTAAAACTCATCATACAACAAGAAAGAATTGAAGACATCTTCAAGAATTTATAGATCTGGATAAAACATGCACAAATTTCAACTAGTACAGCACATTCAGCAGTATAACTAGATCGTGTCCGCAAAAATCCTTAACTGCCTTTAATTTCAAAACTTTTGGTCATAGACATATACTTCTACTAATACGAATGTTTAGAATGGCAAAAATATCTATGTTTTGGCTTTTAAATTTAAAAGGTCAGTTAGGACATACAAAATCTAATTTTTTAAGAAATAAAACAAACATTGCATTGCAAATTTTAATTGTGCTAATGTAAATTCACTGTTATTAAGGTTTATTTTTGATTTGAAATGAAACTGTTGCATTAATATTGAATTTATTTTCGTCAGTTAAGTTTTTTCATAACGAACAGGTTTTTCTTTTTTCTAGACGGAAACGGGCGTTAAATTGCTTGATCATTGTGCGGTAATTACTATTTAAATGAACCAGTTAGTATTTATAATTTCAACCTTTACTATAACTTCTCCTTTTCGTTTTCTCACCAGAAATGCTAATGAGATTAGACAGTATTTAAGCTGAGGTTTGGGGATTGTCAGACAGAGCACGTCTCTGCCTCTCGAGGCTATGTTACGAGGTTTCGCCAGCTCTAAGATCGAAATTATTCAGCTTTGCGTTATAGATGCCGTCATTTAAATTCTTACACCGGTTGAAACTTTGAGTCAACTTAGTGTTACAGTTAAATTGTTACTAACATCACCACAAGTGGTGGCTGATTATGCAAGCATCTGACGTGCATTTTATGTTCAGGTTCTGATTTAAATACAAAGGCATTTTCTTCCAACTTTTTCAAGACTGTAGTTTATTTCAGATGCAGCGATAATTCATTTAACATCTGTTAGGAGTTTCATGCTCGTTTATATGCTCATAAAGAAAAATTATAAATGTTACTGTAATGGATTTTCCTAGTGAGTTTCATGTGGATCAAGAGTGTAGAGACATTAGGATTTGGGGGGGGGATGTTAGGAGACATGAAAAATGAGCAATGCCCTCGCCGGGACTCCAACCATGGAACTCTTGATTATGCCACGAGCGTACTGACCACTACACTACGAAGGCATGTTAAGAAGATGGGAGAAATATATACTCCCCTTTTAAAGGGTATCTGGGGTTTTTAGCGAACCCAATCACCAAATCCTGGTGGTGAAGAATCGTCATTCACCATCTTTTAGTTCGGGTGCCACTGTAGAGACATTAGAATTTTTTTATGCTGGGAGACATGAAAAATGAGCAATGCCCTCGCCGCCGGAACTCGAATCACGGACCTTTCGGTTACGCACCGAGCGTGCTGACCACTACACCACAAAGGCGGAAGAAATAAAACTACTCCCCCTTTCAAAGGGCGACTGGGTTTTAGGGGACCCAATCACCAACTCCTGGTGGTGAAGAATCATCAACCACCACCTTTCTTAGTTCGAGCGCCACTGCAGAGACATTAGGTTATTTCCAAATAGGAGACATGAAAAATGAGCAATGCCCTCGTCGGGACTCCAACCTCTCGAATACGCGCCGAGTATGCTGACCATTACACCCCGAAGGCATGCTAAGAAGGCGGGAGAAATACCTTATAAAAGTAGTCTAGGTTGTCTTGTCACTTGGCTTTTGATGTGGACACGAGAAAAGCTTCAGTTTCGGGAGGGGGAAGAAAAATCATTTCTTTCATACTCATGCTTACATTTTTGTTGCAAGTGTGACATTTTCTTATTCCATTTTATATGACTATTACTATGGGAAGATTTTTCATGGAAATTTAGTTTTCCTATACGTCTGGAGCTATTTTATTATACATCCCAAACTGATGTGAACATAATATAATGTACACTGCTCAAAAATATATATATATATATATATATATATACAGTCAAAAGTCGTTAATCCGGACTCGTCGGGACTTCGGCGATTCCGGATTATCGACTTTTCCGGATTATAGATCATCAGTTTAAATCTCGTAAGATGGCATGCAGAAATTCTAAAATTAAAAATATGAAACCGTAATTTATGAAATAAAGAACAATTATGATCTAAAGGGTATCAAAATTTGGAAAAAAGAAAAGCTTAATATTTATTTGTTTACTTTATTAAACATTTCTTTCAATGTAAGTTTTGCTTCGTTTCATGTGATAATACTTTCTCTTTAATTCTATTAAACAGACATAATTTCTTGTTCAGTTACAAAGTTCCGCTGTTCAAGTCCTATAATTGCTGTGTCGAGAACACCGACTAATTTGTCAATCGAAATTTTTTCGTTTTCAATAACCTCTGTTACTTTCTTCACTATCGAAAGCGAATTATAATGACGAGGAACTTGTTTTAAATCATATCAAAGACGGAGCATATCGAGATGAAATACTACATTTGGTAAGGAATTATAAGCCAAATAAAATAAAAACATCTGCGCTGAAGATAAGGATAGTGCTGACAGATCAACTTCCAATTCATTACGCGCCAGCCGCGGCGATCGCCCCGCCGAGCAGCGTGAAATTGATAAACAGATTTCGGATTTCAAAACATACTTTCGTTTTAGATCCTTTACATATTAACAAATATATATCGGAAATTCTATTTGATATAATCGAAAGTTTTAAGCTTACTTTTATAAAATTGCTCTACAGTCTGCAAAAAATAATAAGCCGGATCCAATTCGAAAATTAAGGAACAACGCAATCATGCAACATTAACTGAAATAGATAATTAGATAATTTTAGCTTATACGTCCATTATACATAAAACGCGCACGCGAAAACGTATTCTGCACTTGCGCACACTCATATGCGCAGTCGTAAAAGGTCTTACGCGCACGCGTAAACGCCTATGCGCATGTGTCAACGCGGCGCATGCGCAGAAAGTTTTTGATTTTGAGGTCCGGATTATAGATCATTCCGAATTATGGGTGTCCGAATTAACGACTTTTGACTGTACTCCCCTTTTTTCCAGAGATCGACTGACATGACTCAACGATGCATTACTATAATACTATTTGTCAAATCAAGTGGATGCTTATTTCAAAAGTGTTTAGCAGCCGAATTTTTGAAATGTGTTCTTATTTTACTAACTTGCTTTGCAGTGCTTCCTATTGCCCCTCAGTACATAAACATCTTCTCACATCTCCTTAAAACCCACTAGTGGGTGATGATATTAGAAAACTATAGTATATACAAAGAAAATAATACTGAAATTTTGAAACATAAGTAAAACTTGCTTCACATCTGTATCAGAAAAAATAATAGGAATATGATTTTTCTTCATATGATGTATCTTAAACAAGTATAAATTCTAATGGAATAACTGTATTTTTTTTTTAAAGGTTTGGCACAACTAGATGCAAAAGCGTGTGGGAAAATGGGATCATGGGCTCTGTTGTACTATATATCGACTACAATATTTGCTGCTGTTTTAGGTATAATCCTTGTCCTTGGTATTCAACCTGGTGACCCAACTATAAAAGAACAGCATGATTACAATGGAGATACACGACAAGTATCTACTTTGGATGCCTTTCTAGATCTAATAAGGTAATTTATTCAAAAGCATTTATAATGAACATTTAAAATTAGCTACAAAGCCAATTTTTTAAAATAACTTTCCAATACAGATTTTACAATTAATTCCTTTCTTCTTCATTCTTCAAATTAATACTGTAAGTTCGAACCTAAATATGAATTGTCAAAGCTAAACTTTAATATAGTTTAAAATAACAATAATAAAAATTCTGAAAATAATTTAAGACTTGAGGCTGTATAATTTGGGTCATCGTACTTCTGTGCTGAAAAAAGCAGGAAATCGCAGTGTCCCAAACTGGATAATTATGAATTATGACAAAGAAAGATAACATACTAATTCATAATATTCTAAGGCACATTCGTATTATTTTCATAGTTAGGCATTAAATTATTTAATTTGATTACCATGGTTTGATTTCGAAAAACAATGCTTGAATATTCGGTTGATTTTGCATCTGAATAAACAGTGCTATATCTTCATGCTTGAACTATGGATTATTCCTTACAGAAATATGTTTCCAGAAAACTTATTAACAGCTTGTTTCCAGCAAGTAGAAACTGTGTTTAAGGCCAATTCTAGATATGTTGCAGCATCTCCCATGGATTATGTAGATGGTGAAGTCACACTGAAGAATGATTCCTTTCTCTTAACTTACTTCGAAAGGTCACAAGTTTATAAAGATGGTACTAATGTCTTAGGTAAGTATGATTAGATGACCATATTATTTACTCATGGATTGCAAATCTTTATGTATACTTCTATGCATTCACAAAATAGGTTAATCCACTTGCAAACAATGGACGATCTTTTTTGGAAAAATGCATCAGATTTGTCTTTAAGGGGAAGTATAGTAGAGCATTGATTATCAACATAACTGGTATAGTAATCATCTTGGGTAATGTAAAATTCAGTGAACAGACATAATTTCAAATCATGTAAATCTTTAAGTTTTCTGATACTGTTTATGTGAAATTCTAAAAATAAGAGCACAAATATAATTATTTATATTTTAATAAATTCTTGTCTTCATAGATAAAAATTTGTTTCCTTAATTACCAAATAATTCATATAAGTTTTCATTTCGTGATGAAAATATTAATGAAAAGAACTGAAATATACAAATTCCATGAAAATTTATGGAAACGGTGAAATTTTGTCAAATTTCTTCCATTCAGTTTTAAAAGACAGCTGCCCCCCTCCCAGAAATTAAGCTTTTTTTGCGATGGTTCTATAATGCTATTAGCTACTGCACGATTATGTCCTTCAACAAAATATCCGTAAGAGAAGCATCAGGATATTGCTTTAAATATTAGATTAGATGGCTTTGCGGAAATCATCTGTTCCTATTAATGACCAAGCTATAAAATATGATGTATTTATAGCAGGTTCCATTTAATGCGATCACACTTGCCCAAGACTATTTTGATAACATTAAAAATGAACAAAAATATCCTTTCAAATAAACAACAGGAATTTAACTAATTTAATGTAAGCAGAAAAATAGAAATACTTATTTTTGCAGCATTCCAACTAGTCATTAGAGTAAAGAATTTTTTTAATTTATTGATTTATTTTGACCTTATTTAGAGAATTTACTTCGGGTTGAAAAATTCATATACACGTACACGGTGTATTTTATGTATGTGCAATGTATTCTTATTATTCCACATATGCGATGTATCGAATTGCCAAAATCCTGCCTACATAAACAGGCTGAAGTAATCAAAATAAATTGAAATCAAGATTTCAGCATGGTTAATTTTCAAATTTTACATTTCCTTGTCATCCTCAGCAGCACTGAAATTTTTTTTTTTTTTTTGTTCTCTGGATCTGTGCTGGAATGATTTTTTTTTTTTTTTTTTTTTTTTCACTGAGAGCTTGAAAATTTGATTCGCTATCTTTTATATTTACCCATTCCAAACTGTCATCCATTTATCCATCGAAACATGTCTATGAATTAATTGTCAGTTAGTGCTGCTTTTATTTTTAATGCATGTAAAACACATTATTGTAATGCACAATAAGAAGGCTGCTAAAAATAACCAATCACTGATAAATTATTCAATTATAAGGCTGTATCTTTTCTAATGTTACTATATTTTCCCAATTATTTCTTAAAATTGACTGCTAGCTTGGTTAATACAGACATTAATTGATAGAGTGTATTTAATTTTGCAAGTATTTGTTTATAGGGAGAATAATAACTAAATTATGTAAGTTTTGCATACACAATTTTTAAATTAAAGGTTATTATATTTCTTACTGCTTTTTACAGGCCTCATCGTTTTTTGTATAGCATTTGGCATCATCGCTGGCCAGCTTGGTGAATTTGGAGCACCAATGGTTCATTTCTTTGTCATCTTGAATGATATTATAATGAAGATTGTGATTCTCATCATGTGGTAATTCTCTTTTCATTTTTGTTATACTGTAAATCAAAATTAATAGAGTAATCACCTGAAAATGAAAGTGTCCCAGATAAAAAAGCGACAGCTACATTAGTTAAATGTCAGAGAACAAAGACAAATATATGAATTTTTTAAATTGCCATGGTTACATATTCTTCAAAACAATAGCAGTTTAACTATTAGACTTGTTTATAAAAATGGCATTTTATTTAGTGAAAGTATTAAGAATAAAAAAGTACGCTTTTATAAGATGCAAAAGTATTAATTTAGAAGTCAAATAACAAAAAAAAAAAAAAAAGCTTATATTTTCAAGTTTTCACAGGACTAGTTTCAATGGTTTTACCGAACCAACATCCTCAGCTGCAAAAGCACAAATGAATCAAAGTGCAAAAGTGTTTAGATTAAATGTTACAAAAACAACAATGTTACAAAGTCGAATATCAGAAGCAATGATTTATCAAATTTTAAAACTGTATGAAAATCACAGGCAAGATCATATCAAACAAAATTTGAGAAAATAAAACATTAAGTTAGTCTTAAAACCAGACATTTATATTCATCAGGTTGCTGGAATTTTGATGTCTTCAAAAATAGCTGTATACTTGCTTTCTCAAGCATTCATTAGGAATGGCCAAATTCAGTGGTTATTTAATTATCTCATCACCAAAATGTTGCCTTGGGTGCATCATAGGTAGTAACAATATTATACCCATGATTGGAAGGGGGAGAAAGGGCAACACACATACCAGAAAGCCTTATGCAGGAATGAACCCACACCTTTGCATCAGGCTAGCAATCAGCTTTCACAAACCATTACACTGTTGAGAACTGCTAGTTCCTGGAAAACTGAAGATACCAAAATTAACTGCCTATCAAATTAAAGAAAATTTGGGCTTAAAAAGTATTGTGTGCGTGTAGGGGAGGAGGCACAACTTCAAAGTGTACTTTGGAAGGGGATCAAGAAATTAGAACCAAAAAATTCTTTTAAAATTTATATGCAATTGATTTTATAGTCCAAAGAAAGGTAAGGTACTTGACTTCAAATTTTTTTCAAACAGTTCATGACGAAAATGCTGTGGCAAAACTGTGATTTTTCAAACAATTAATTGGGTAAAATGGTAGTTTGTGGAAATGGATGCAAGAATAAATATCATTGCTTGTACATAATCTATTCATTGAGAATACAGAACTTTATTCATGGCAGTAGTATTTTGAGAAGTATGTATTTTATTAACACTTGAAATTAGGTATATTATCTATGCAAACGCACTGCAAGTAATTAAAAGAAAAAAAAAACTTAAAGGCAAAACTAATGTTTACTTCATTCAGTAAAATTTACTTTTTATACTTTCTAGGTATTCTCCAATTGGCATCATGTCTTTGATAATTGGAAAAATTATGGCCATCAAGGACTTAGCAAAGACAGCCGAGCAACTGGGTCTCTATATGCTGACAGTAGTAATAGGATTGGCTATTCATGCTTGCGTGACTCTGCCTTTCCTCTATTTTATTATTACTCATAAGAACCCTCTCACTTTCTTCAAGGGAATGCTTCAAGCTTGGGTAACAGCTTTGGGAACGGCTTCTAGGTGAGAAAATTTTTTAAAGTAATCATGTAAGATATATTATTGGAAATTCTGAGCAGTGAAATAAATTATTTTTTTAACCAATGCATTTTCCACCATCTCCAGTACACACACATTTACCAACTAAAAAAAAAACCATTTCATTTGAACTTTAGAAAGTAATACTAGTACAGTAGAAGTCCATTAGTCCGGCATCCAACAGTCCGGAATGCCCGATAGTCCCGCATCGCTCCGGAAAATTGTAAAATTTTGGTTTTCTCCAAAAGTGTGTCTTTAAAGCAAATAAAACCGCTCGAGAGCTATTCGGAAGTTTTCAGGGTAGTTCGAGATCATCCGGAAGCGCTCGGTATTGTTCGGAAACAATTAGCGGCCGGCTAGTCTATTATTGTTGCAAATATTGTTGCTACTCTGCTCCCACCTAACGTAACATCTTTGATTCAACCCATGGACCAAGAGGTTATTCAAAATTTTAAATGCTTTTATAGAAGGTCTTTTATTCAAGGCCTGTTAATGCCGACTGACGTGATTGATTTTCAAAATGTTACAGTAAAAGATGCGGTCTATGCTATTGCACAGTCTTGGAACCAGGTAAAAAATACAACACTCCAAAAATGCTGGAGAAAACTTTGGGCCAGCTGCAAACCCTGTGTACGTTCCGTTGTTTAAATATAGTGGACTGTAAATTGACTTGATATTACTTCAGTATAGAACCCAAAAAACCTCAGACTCATAACGTTGACCGAAACTTCTTTATTGACTTTCAAAGAGTAAGTTAGTTGAGGAACGGCGAAGACCACACAAACTCCGACTTCAGTGGCGGCTTACCAACACAAACTCAGAAGAACCTCTGCTTAGTTGAAACTCCAGTAATTCACAGCAACCTCAAAGCTCTAAACGCGAGCTTTAAAAACCTAACAAATTTGCGTCTGCGCCGCTCCTCGGTACAAAGAAAGAAATACAATTTGCATAACATCGAACATACCCCCAGCCTTGAAGTCCCAAGGGGGTTCAAACAATAAATTTAAACTGTTGAACTGCATAAACCTGAAAAATAAAAATTAAAGTCTCTAAATCAGGAATTAAATGGCAAAGCGCATAGCTTTGCTATAGGTCGTTTTATTTCACCATTAGACGTGCGTAAACTCACCACTCGAACTTTCTCATCCAAGACCAGGATACACTTTAATAATTCTACCTAATTTCCAACGTAGCGGAGGTAGATTTTCGTTCTTAATAAGAACCATATCACCAATCTTCAGGTCTTGTTGTAACCTTGCACCACTTGGGTCTCTGCTGCAATCTAGATAAATACTCACTGCTCCAACGATTCCAGAAATGTTGAAATAACCTTTGCACGTTCCTCCAACGGTCACTGCAGCTCATGGTTTCTTGAATTTGGTTAGATTCTGGAATAGCGCTTAAAGCCGCTCCGGTTAAAAAGTGTCCTGGTGTTATCGCCTCCAAGTCGCTACAATCACTTGAAGCTGGTACCAAAGGCCTAGAATTAAGACAGGATTCAATTTGGGTTATTAATGTCAAAAATTCCTCGTATGTTAAAATAAGTGTTCCTAAACATCTTTTTAAGTGATGTTTCATAGACTTGATACCCGCTTCCCAAAGCCCTCCAAAATGAGGGGCAGAGGGAGGATTAAATAACCATTTAATATTTTCTGAAGAAATATAACCCTGTAGCTGTTCATCACGTTGAACAATAGAAAAGGCTTTCCTTAATTCTTTATTAGCTCCTATAAAATTCGTTGCACAATCACTGTGAATTTCACACGGTTTGCCTCTACGAGCTATAAACCGCTTAAGTGTCGCGAGGAATGATTTTGTTGAAAGATCTCCAACTAATTCTAAGTGTATTGCTCTTGTAGTAAAACAAATAAATAGACATACGTAACACTTAAAGATTTTGACTCCTCTACCAGGACGATATTTTACGTTAAATGGTCCTGCTAAATCAATCCCTACACGAGAAAAAGCTCTACTTTGAGTAACTCTTGAAGCGGGTAAATCTGCCATTAGCTGAGTTGCAGTTTGCGCTCTAACTCTACGGCAGATAACACATTGGTTTATACACTTTCTTATAATATCTCTAGCATTCACAATCCAAAATCTATGTCGTATGACAGAAGTGAGTAGCTGCGTACCTGCGTGAAGATACGTGTCATGATAATGCTTAATAATTAAACGCGTAACATTGTGATTCTTAGGTAAAATCATAGGATGTTTCTGATTATTTGAAACTGTAGAGTTTCTGAGCCTTCCGCCTACACGCATTACTCCCGCGGAATCCAAGAAAGGACTTAAAGACAGTAATTTACTTGATGTCTTCAAGGGTTTACCAGATTCTAAACAGAATAATTCTTCTGGAAATTCGACTCTTTGCACAATCCTAACAATCATAGAAGTAACTTCACAGAATTCTTCAGTAGATAAATAACCCTTTATATGCTCTGTAGGTAACTTACTACAATTATTTCTGAATCTTAAACACCACGCTAACACTCTACATAACTTTAACCATGATGAAAATCTTGAAAACACACTAGGCTCTTCAAATTTGGAAACATTTGAACTGAAACTCTTTTTCAATTCCTTCAACATAACTTCACTCTCTAATTCTACACTTGAATTTTGCTGTACATGAATTAGGGATTCGTTTAACCACTGCGGTCCCTTCATCCATAACTCACATTGTAGGAATTCTGATGGAATAAAACCTCTGGTCCCACAGTCTGCAGGATTTTCTTTCCCAGCAACATAATTCCATTGAATACCTGGAACAGCTTCCTGGATTTTTGCAACTCGATTTGCCACAAAAGGTAGCCAACGGCGAGGTTCGGACGAGACCCATGCCAATGTAACCCGCGAGTCGGTCCATGCGTAAATATTGTTAATAGTCAGTTCTATGCCTGATAATACTGCATATAAGAGGTTGGTTAAAAGTAACGCAGCACACAACTCTAGTCTCGAAAGAGACTGGGTTTTTAAGGGCGCTACTCTGGTTTTCGATGTCAGAAGGCTGATATCTGAAGCCAGAAGACTGACGAATCAAGGTCGATTGTACGGAGATAGATGACTGCACAATAAGCCTTTTCTGAAGCGTCGCAGAAAGCATGGATATCTATCACTACTGCCTTCGGACTCAAGACATACCTCGGAAATTGTAAGCTTGAAAGTAAGGGCAATTCTAGATAGAAACGCTTCCATTCCTACTTATTCTCTTATCAACGAGTTCATCCCAACCCAGCTGTAAGTTCCATAACTCTTGTAATAATATTTTCGCGTATATTATTGTTGGCGCTAACCATCCCATTGGATCAAAGATTTTGGCTACTTCTGATAAAATAGTCCTCTTAGTAAACTCTTTATCACTTATGCATACCGAAAAATGAAACGTATCACTAGAGTTGTTTCAATTAATTCCCAATACTTTTACTTTCTTGTCACTTTTTATTTCAAGAGAAATACTGGATTCTCGTAAGCACTCGGGAATATTCTCTAAAATAGCTGAACTGTTTGAAATCCACTTCCTTAAGCGAAATCCACCCCTTTTCATCATTTCATTCAACTGCTGAATAAAACATTTGCTTCCTCTTCACTTTGTGCCCCTGAAAGCAAATCATCAACATAAAAATCACGAAGGGCAATTTTTTATGCTAAAGGAAATCTCACTTGTTCATCTAATGCAAGTTGTTTCATTACTCTAGTAGACAAATATGGCGCACAGGCAGTCCCATATGTAACTGTCACTAATCTAAATGTACTCAAGGGCTCACTAGGACTATCCCTCCAAAGCATTCGTTGCCAATTTGTATCTTCTGGGTGGACACGAATTTGTCTGAACATCTTCTCTACATCGGCACATACTGCAATTTTGTGAGTTCTAAACCGTAGAAGAATTGGAAACAGCTCTTGCTGAACTCTTGGCCCAACCATCAAAATATCATTCAATGAAAGACCCGATGTCGTTTTAGCTGAAGCATCGAAAACAACTCTCAGTTTAGTCGTAGTACTTGATTCCTTTAATACGGCATGATGAGGCATGTAATACGTAGAGTCAATAAGAATCTCTCCCTCAGGCACTCCCTCCATATGTCTCAGCTCAAGGTATTCCCTCATGAAATCCTTATACTGTTCATATATCTGAGGCCTTTTTAGAAGTGAATTTTCTAAAGATTGGAATCTACGCATAGCTAATTGTCTGGAATCTCCAAGCTGAGAAGGCGGAGAGTGAAACGGTAATTTCACAGTATATACCCCACTTTCCTCTCTCGTATATGTAGATTTGAAATAATCTTCACACGCTCTCTCCGATTTAGTAAGCATGTCAAACTTAGGTACAGCATCCAATTTCCAAAAGTCAAACAGCATCTGATCAGTTTCCACTTGTATATTATTAACATAGATAGTAGGATTAATTTCTGTTGAATTATTCACACTACCTGAAATAATCCATCCTAGTTCAGAACGAGAAGCTACCGGTTTACCTTCTTCGCATTTAATTATTTCTCCCTTTAAAAGAGGTAAGGCAATCTCTACGCCTAAAAGTATATCAACAGGCCCACTTTTGTAAAATGTTGGATCTGCTAACATTAAATCATTATATTCCTCAACGTACTTCTTATTCAACGTAAAATGCGGCAAAGTTCCAATAATTCTATTGATGATAAATACTGGTGTTTTAAATGACACTTTCGCCGGAAAATGCGGAACGAAGTTTATTTCCGTAATTCCATTAGTTTTCGTATCCAAAGACCCTAAACATGAAATAAAAACTTTGGCATTTCTTCTTGCTAACCCTAGCCTTTGTACACAATCTTCTGAAATCAGGCTTGCTTGACTGCCAGGGTCAAGGAGGGGCTCTACACAATTGGTATTCACCCGATGAATCTAACACTTTAATAACAGCCGTACATAATAAAACTTCACTCTGAAAATTAAAGTCTGAAACACAAGATTTAATTACTGGACTAGAACTTGCGATATTCTCCCCT